GTAACAAATGTGATTTGTTCAGGCCTGGCTATAGGCAGCTATAAAGACTTGACCTGGCAGTACAGTACTCACTGCGAAAACATTCCCTTGTCACACCAGATTTGATGCACAACCAGTGCACTGCACTGGCTGGAGGGAGTTGCAGTCAAGGAGACTGCCCCTTCTATTAGGTCACGCTCTTCTGTGTTTACATTCCTAGCCCCAGGGTTAAAGTGTAAGAGGGCTTTATCTGTGGCCTTGGGCAGAGCTCTTTCTCAAGAATTTCTGATGAGATTTCTCATCTGATGCATTTCTCAAGCATCTCCTTATTGACTAAAGTGGGTGAAACCTTGAAGACCGTTTCCCACTCTGACAATGTACTTAGTACTTTTTCACTCTTAACACTCCCCTTGCACTCCCCTGACCCCAGAGTCCATAAAATTGACTTAGTTGCTTGTAGCACTACCATTATAATGGAGTGATCCACACGTCTGTGCTTATCCTCTGATTCAATTAGAATGTTGTTCCATGGAGGAAATGGAAAAAGGACATGCAACAATTTCTTCGGTTTTAACTTCTTGCTTATACCATTGCAGTAAATGTCTAAAGGCTTACCTCTTTAACTTTTTACTTGTTCTTTGAATTAGCTTCTCCAATACCTGACAGCTCAGTTTCTTCTCTTTCAATTCAGCTGATCTCTTTATAAAAATCACTGTAGTTGTTGGAGAAAATCTCACTTAAATTGATTTCTTTTCATTTTCAATACTTTAAAAATGTTTCTGCACTGTCATTTGGCATGTATTGTTTGAGATGAGGCATCTGCTATCAACTTCATCTTTGTTATTCTGTATATAACATGTCATTGACTACCTTTCAGATTTTCTCATTATTAATGGTTTTGAGTAATTTAATCATGATGCGCCTTGGTATAGTATTTTTTAATATCTGCGCTTAAGTTGTGTTAAGCATTTTGCATGTATGAGTTTCTAAATTTCATTGGTTCTAGAAACTGCAATTGTACATAAATGAGAATATTTGAAATTGTCTCACAACTCAATGATAGTTTGTTCATTTTTAATTTTTTAACTTTTTCTCATTATGTTTTTTCAAATGATTTATACTTCTGTCTTCAATCTGTCTTTTTTCTCAGTGTGAATAATGTGCCATTAATAATATGCAGTGTATTTCATCACAAATGTTGTAGTATTATTCTCTAAAAGTTTAATCTTTATTTTATTTTCAATTTTTCTACTTAACACGTTCAAACTTTCTTCTGGTTTCTTGAACATATATTTTGTATCCTAGTCTACTAAAGATGTCATGCAATGGGAATTGGCTATGAATATGTTTGATGAATATTTTATATTACATCTAATCAAGCCCCTAAACATTTATTTAAAACACGGAGGATAAAGAAACATACTGAATCACACAACAGTGATACAATTATCAAAATTCAGACTATGTGAAACTCTATAGGACAAATAACCTTGACTCTTCAGCATATAAATGAAAAGAAAAATTAGAAACAGAGAGAGGAAATCTGTAGACCAAATGAGACTTGAGAAATGTATCAAAAACCTGTATTGTGTGAACATATTTAAGTCTTAATTCAAAGACAAAGATTTTTAATTTGAACACTATGAGTATTTTGTTATATTAAAAACTTTTTCTTAATTTTAAACTTTGACTTTGATTTTTAAGGGTATGTACACACACTTATGTAGCATTTATACTTGTGTATGTGTATGTGTGTGTGTGTGTGTGTCTTCAATGGTTAAAATGATATGAATTTGAAATTGATTTTAATATTAAAAAGTGAGCATGAATAGAGATGACACAATATTGACCATATGTTGGTAATTACTGAAGCAGGGTAATGATACCTAGGTATTCATTACAGTATTTTATATATCTTTATATGTATCAAAATACCATAATATAAAGTTCACAAAAATTATATTCACTGAAACACAGCCAGCTAACTTCATATCAGTGTTGGTGATAATTTGCCAAACTTATAAAAAGTATCTTTCTCATGAATAATATTGTACCAGTTCCAAATATTGTTATTCATCAGCTACCGCAAATACATATTTCAGCAATTTCTAAAGCACAGATTTATCTGAATTTCAAATACGTAACATAAAGATAAATTTCATCTTTTTCACCTCAGCTGAATTTCTCTATGACCTTCATTAAGTAAACTTTTAACAAGGAGTACATCTGCTTAAAGGGAGTACACCGGGACCACAGAATCCCTGTGTACTTTCTTAATTAGGTGTTTTTTAACAACTCTTCTTAACACGAGCCAAAGACCTAAAAAATCTCTAAGGAGTCATTCAAAAATACATGCAGAAGATTCAAAACATAATCATGCAGAAAAAGTCCTAACATGAACTCTGGCTTTTCTGTTGATTATATTATATTAAACTCCATTGTGAAGCTTACAAAATTATTTTTAATTCATGGAAGCCAAGGAAATACATCAAATTTGGCTGGATGTAGATGTTGGAAATGCAAAACTATTAAATTACATGTAAGGATTAGAATTACCCATCCTAAAGAGACAGCCTTGGTCAATGGAAAGTTTAAATGTAAAACTCAGTAGGCAGAGTATTTTGTTTTAGTATTTAAATAATAGAAGATACATCTCATATCATTCTTAAATATTATAAACATTCACCCATTCTTACCCAGGCACTATAATTTTATATTTATTGTCTTAAGATGATTTTTTGTTAAGCTGATAAACACTTCTTCCCCATATCTTTGAAATTTAAAAAGAGTAAATATCTTGCACAAGCTTTCTACTTAGTGTTTTATAGCATCAGTATAACTGATTATTGAATTCACCAGTTTTAAGCTGAATTGCCATTTTGTCTATTTAATTACTACATAAAACATCATAATTTGGGAAATTGGTTGAGGAAGCTTATGTCTATCAAATATAAAGAGGAAAAATATGACTTTTTTTCCTCCTGGATTGACTGTTGCTTTAATAAGAGAGTTGGAGTTTTACTGAGAAAGAATGGAGAAAGTAACCAAGTCAAAAAGAAAGGAAGTCTATCCCAATGTCAGCTGTCAATCAAGGAGACTCCCAGAGCAATCTTTCAACCTTCAGGCAGATTTATGACTGCAGTTGAAAACTAGCAGTGCCTGAGTGGAAATTTATAATTATTCTAATCAAATTATTACTGAGCTACAAAATATAATTAGCCAGCTTAATTGGAAGATCAATTAAATGTATATTTTTATTCCGTTTTTGTCATATGCAGAAGTTGTAACCTGTCTTTAGTAATTATGTGAGAAAATGTTATTTTAAAATGTCAAATGTTGTTTTGTTTCTGACGCTTTAGGTATATAGAAGATACACAGGAGCAAAAAACGATTATAAAAGAAAGCAAGATTTTTGTTTGTGACATCCTGTTTCTCTGAAGAGTAACAGTTGGAATCAAGAGTCAACACAATGAATTGTTATTTACTGCTGCCTTTTATGTTGGGAATTCCTCTCCTATGGCCTTGTCTTGGAGCAACAGAAAACTCTCAAACAAAGGAAGTCCAGCAGCCAGTGGGATCTCATGTGAGAGTGAAGCGTGGCTGGGTGTGGAACCAATTTTTTGTACCAGAGGAAATGAATACGACTAGTCATCACGTCGGCCGGGTACTTATTTATTTAAAATGTTATGGTAAATAGCACAACAATGTAAATAAATATGTTGGAGAAGTTTGGAGATTTGATGAGTTCCACATTTTGACAGTGAAACCACTGAAAAGCTTCAAACATCACATCAATAATTGTTTCAGATTTGCAAGCACCTAAAACATCCACTGAAATCTTGAAGAGGGATAGTTCTGGTTTTTAAATTTCATGTTAGTATCCCTTAGGAAAATGCAGCTCTCACTTTCAACATCTGGAAACTTGATGGTGTTATTTTTGGTAATGGATCTAAGCAATCACAGTGAGACAAATATCATTTACCAACGTATTTAGCCTGATTTTCTATTACGCTAAGTAGCTGTTGATTTACCCCTCATTCATTTTTAATGAAGCAGGTTAATACCATATTCTTTTACAATTAAGTAGCTTCAGGAGCCTACACACTTCAATTGTTTAGTAAAGTAAAAGGAATATTATGTTCACTTTCTTAAAAGAATATATTTTAAGAACAATTCCTTAATGAGACAAAGCAAATTCTATTTATGTTTTTGGTTTGTATTTTATTATTTGATTTCCTTTAAACAAAGGTGATTACAGTGTCATGTCCTTTTCCACAAGGCTTTTTCTCTAGATAAATGAACTGAAATAAGTTTAACTGCTAATTAACTGGCACTAAAATTTAATTGGGCCCAAAGGGTGAAGCACTCAAAATTTATTAACTCTCTTTTTCTAGCCCTTTCAGGAGAGCTGCAGTGTTAGCATGGTATCTGAATTCCACAGAACTTCACCTATGTTATCAGCCAAATGTATATGAGTACATTCAACCAAAACCTTAGATTAGGATTTTAGGCAAGTATTTCCAAATGTGTAGGGAGGAGGGTGTATTGTGAACACACACACACACACACACACACACACGTTATAAGTAATATTTCTCATCCCCTTTTATTTTTGATTTGAACTGCAGGTAAATAGTATGCACAGTTGGTACTAACAAGGTCCACAGTTAGGTGCTGACTCGGTAACTGAGTCTCTGGATACCTTTACAGTAGACTGCACAGAGTACCATAAGCTGTCCCATCACTGAATGGGGTGACAGGCTAAAATCAGCTGTTGACTTTTAGTAAATAAGGTGTTGTAGGAAAGTGCATCAGTGTAATTGGAACACAGGCTACCTCTGGGGCTGTCTCATTTTCTAGTTTGTTTGTTTCTATGCCCCACATGAATCTCTGGTTACCTCCTTTCGCACAGTGATTGGTTTTGCTTATTTTTCCACTCTATACAAATATTTATGAAACTACTCTGAAAAATGGTTTTCTGCTACACGAATTCATCAAGTTAAAACAAGCAGATCACTGATTTCAAAAAGAACAATAATGAATGTTTAGGTGCTTGTCAAAAGAGTTAGTAAATATACAATTTAGCTGATGTGTTCAAGATAACTCTCTTTGATCCATTTGTTTGAAAAATGATTAAGATTGGGAAGTACAATTAAGTGAAAATTTGAAGTGATGTTTGTTTAGCAAATCGATAGTAGCAGCCTAATTAGGAAAATACTTTTTGAATAGAAGTATAGAAATTGTATAATACTAGAAGCCATTTGATTGAAATGTGTTTAACATATGCATTTTGTGACACTAAAAGGCAAGTGTTCAAGTAAGCTTTTTCATTTTCCCTTAAATCTGGGTCTTAAAAATGTCAATCTTACTTGTCTTTGAAAATTACATGGCACATATACTTGCAATATATTTATTTATTACTAAACTTAATTTATCTTCATTATAATATCAAATAAATTATCAAACCATATTGAAATGATATCATTTAAAAAATATGAGCCATACATTGCTCACTTGATATATTGATTTGATTGTATAATTATTTTCCTCAATTTATTACATCATTGAATAAACAATTTCTTTTATGAATAATTAAGAACTACCAAATTAAAAGAGGTATTAGCAGAAAGACAATCTGGATGTTATTTTTCTCAATTTGCTTTGTTACATGGCATTGATATTCGGCACATTGTTGAAATTCAAAATTAGTTACTAATACCTTTAGCTTTTCTCCACAACCACATAGAAAGTGTATTAATTTATCCAGAAGAAGAAATTATAACTTGAGCCATCAGAAAAACCATGAATTTGTTTGCAACTGATTTCATGGTTATCTTTGTAAATTTGCAGAGGAACTCTTACTTTGAATAAGAGCATTTTCATAAATGGTGAAACAAGAAAATGTGGATTCACAATCAGGGAACCATGACATACTTCTCCTAGGTACAAATAATTTAGATATGAAAAGCTATACCGTCATTTTAACTATGTCAGAATTAGACTGTTTTTTTGTTACAGATAAATTAAAAATTCTAAATAATACCTCAACAGTATGAATGATGAACAAATTTACTTTGCTTTTGAAAATACGGAAATGAGTGCACAGGCTGAAAGTGTGTATTTGATAATTAGGTAGAATAGATTGAGAAGAAAGTTTTATACTTTCTGGCTAAAACCCAAGGGCTAAAGAACATGTAACTGAGTTGTTGTCAGTGGGGAATCTGAAATGTGACAGCCTCATAGAAGATTTGATAGCCTCATGGTGTAAATCCTAAATCTACACTACGATCATGTGACTCTGAAAAAAGTTTGTAAAACAAAATCTCACTTTTCTTCTCTATAGAAAAATTGATCATATCAATAATATGTATTTCATAATATTGATATGAGAATTAATTGAGAACACTAATAAAAAGCAATTTATAGATTTTATGACAAATAATAAGTAACTAAAGAACAGTCAAGATTATTTTTATCTTTATGAACCCTAATTTTCATCCTAATATTTTCTTGTTTCCATGCATTTCCAGCCAAGAGACAGAACATCAGTGTTTAGATGTCACCAAATTATCTTTCTATCTGTCTCTAGGACCCAGTCTAGTATAAATATTTGAGAGTATGGTTTTAGTGACTGATTATTTAATTATAAATCAAAATTGGACCAACTATGTTGTGCATAACTTACAAAAGAAGCTTTACTGTCCAATTAGTATTGTTTCTGTTAAGAATAATGAAATTTGTATAGTTCTTTATACTAAATATTCACTCTCCCCTCTCCCTGGTGATAGATTTTAATCTTCACATTTAATATTTTACCCCATTTAATGTAATATGGAAACAATATAAAATCATTAACTTGGAGAATAATTAACATACATAAAAAGAAAATCTTTATTTTGATTTGCCCATTTCAGATGTTTGGAAACTAAATGATCCCTCTTTCCATTTGCAGCTAAGATCTGATTTAGACAATGGAAACAATTCTTTCCAGTACAAGCTTTTGGGAGCTGGAGCTGGAAGTACTTTTATCATTGATGAAAGAACAGGTGACATATATGCCATACAGAAGCTTGATAGAGAGGAGCGATCCCTCTACATCTTAAGAGCCCAGGTAATAGACATCACTACTGGAAGGGCTGTGGAACCTGAGTCTGAGTTTGTCATCAAAGTTTCGGATATCAATGACAATGAACCAAAATTCCTAGATGAACCTTATGAGGCCATTGTACCAGAGATGTCTCCAGAAGGTATTGCATATTAATTTACATCAAAGATATATTAACAATGAAAGCAGGTTTAAAATTTCAAGGATATGTTTTGAAGTAGATGATTTAAGGTTCTATACTAGAACTTCCTTCTACAAATATGTTTAAGTAAAATATTTGAAAAATTAGACTATGCATCAAAATTTTGAAAAAATGATACTACACATTAATGTTATTAAAATACCTCAATCTTCACAGGAGTAAAAGAAGTTTAGACATGTTTATTTGAGCAATTCATAAATTTTTTAGCTTGTTCATTTACTAGGCTCTTAAGTACAAGAATTTCTTTTTCAAAACAAAATATATTTTTGTATTTCATAAAAGCAAATACGCTAATCCTGCAAGATATGCATATAAAAATAGGAAAAGTGAATTTATTAGACTCTACTGTGTATATCAAAACCATGAAAAAAAACCACTAAGACAAAAGCAAGTGGTTGAACACCTGTGCATGGCTGCATTTATTTGAAGATACTTTTCAAAACCCAGTGTTGTTGCTGTTAATATTTTAAATATAATGCATTTAGGAGAGAATGGTTTCCATAAGATATGAGAGTTGACTGTCTTGGAAATTAGAACTGTCTTTCCAGTAAAGGGGAAATTGTGATTATGCAAAACTTCTCTCAGTCATTCACTCAAAAAATTTTTGTAGCACAATATAATGGCATGTTTAATTACAAAATGTACTTAACAGTGACAAATAAATGTGATTTGATAATGGCCATTTTAAATTGTGGTAACATGTTTGTAACTACTTTACCTCATTACTTGATTCATTAGTCAATGATTTCAAAAATACGTATTTCATCATAAAATTTCCTGATTCTTCATTTTTAACATTCTAGGTAGGAATTTAAAGATGTATTTCTACATTGTTTGGAACATAGGTCTTTAAATACAGCAGAAACAAATTTGCCTGTGTAATATATATATCAAGACAAATTATTATTGGATGTAAATAGCAGTTTAAATTCCTCTGTTTTGGTAGCTAGGCAAAGAATCAGTTCATATGCCTCCTCCCCCTCCTCCTCCTCCTTCTCCCCCTTCTACTCCTTTCCCTTACTGCCCTCCCCTCTGTCTCCTTATTCCCTCTCTTCCTCCTTCCTCCCTCTGCTTCTTCCTTTTCTTCCTCCACAGCTGCTGCTGCTGCTTCTGCTGCTGCTGCTGCTGCTGCTTCCTCTTCCTCTTCCTCTTCCCCTTCCTCTTCCTCTTCCTCTTCCCCTTCCTCTTCCCCTCCGCCTCCCTCTCCCCCTTCGTCGTCGTCGTCTTCTTCTTCTTCTTCTTCTTCTTTTGCTGCTTCTTCTTCTTCCTCCTCCTCCTCCTCCTCCTCCTCCTCCTCCTCCTCTTCTTCTCCTAGCATTTATTACGGACCTAACATGCTAGGAATCTTCCTTTGAAACTATAGATAAAATTGTGAAGGAGATAAAGGAGTTACCTGCTAATATGAAACATATTTCAGTTATATACAAATAAGAAATAATTATTTTAATTAAAGGAGGTAATATATGATCATGTATAGTATAAAAGTGTTATGTATGGGTGAGGTATGATGATTATTAATTGTCTGGAGGAAATGGGACATTTTAGGAGGTGATATTTGAGGTGAATTATACAAAGAGGCCATCCATGCCACATTCTAGGAAAAGAGAATTCATAGCAGAGTGCTCAGGACTGCATATATCAACATGGGAATCATCGACATACAGCACGCATGTCAGGCATGACAATGAATGAGATCCCTTTGGCAGAGAGTGTAGCTGGAGAAGAGAAAAGCATCCAGGCTGACTTGACTGTTAAGCAAAAAGCAGTCGGCAAGCAAATTAGATGAGTGGGATTGGCGAGTGTTGTAGGAAGAAGGGAAAGATATGAGAAAAAATGTTCCAAAAGAAGAGATCCCTTAACCATGTGGAATGCTGCTGTGAGGCTAAGATTAAGGCAGTGTTGACTTTTGATTTGGTGAGTTGAAGACTCCTGGTTTTTTGATAAGTACAGTGGTTTAATTTGTGCTATTACAGTATGCTGAAGACTGTTGTATGGCATAAAAGGAAGAATAAGAGGAAGTAATGATTTAAGCCAAGTCTAAAAGGTGTTATGCCACAGGGAGAAAATGAAATGTGAGATGCTAGGTAGAAAAAGATGAAGGTCAAGAGGATTTTTTGCTTGTTTACAACTATTCAATTTTTTTTTAAGAAAGGAAAATGAACAACACAGTTATATACTATGGGGAATGATCCCAGAGAATAATATTTTTTGAAGCAAAATAAAAGGGATATAACCTCTATAAAATTGTTCTTGAAAAAAAAAAAAAAAAAAAGAAAGAGTCATGGAATCCATTGTACTTATAGAAGGGACAGATTATAGATTAACATATTTGTTCATAACAAATCAGTTAATAAACATTTCTATTTTATCAGTGAAGCATAATACGAAGGCAGTAATTGAGAGTGCATGGGTAAAATTTTAGTTAGAGAAGAGGAGCTACAAAACAGCCATTTTACAGAGTTGGGTAGTGAGCCCGCAAGAGAATTATTGGTATCATGGTATCAGTGCAGCCCCACTGTAGGTATTCAGAGGGATTGCAAAAGATGGTTTATTCTATGCAATATCTGGCAACTACAAATCTTTTTGTGCATTGCAATTTGAGATATACGTATAAATTTTATTTTCAGTTTGTGTAATCAGTACATACTGTGTGAATGCCAGTTAGGGTCCAGGCTGTGTATGAAATCATGCAAGAACTAATGAGCACTTTGTATACCTTTCCATGAGAGGGAGAGGCCAACTGAGTGATGGTCAGCTGCTATTAGAAATGTTATATAATATGGAAATAGGGGAATATTTCTATTGCTTTGCCAACCTTGTAGCAATGGTTTCCTTCTGAAGCATTCATGCATTTTTGTTGACTGTGAAGTAAATAAATCAATTGATAAAATTATATGTGATTTATCTTTTTTCTCAATCTCAATATTAAATTAATGTATACTGTGGATTGTATTACCTAAATATAACTTTAATTCTTCGTTATCTTCCTATATCCACAGCTTAAGTTTTTGAATATTGACCTTAATTCCAAATTTCCTAGCCAGCTACTTTATTATTCAAAACAACTATTGCAAACATTTTACTATTTCTTTTTGTTACATATATTTCTGTGGTATTCAAGTGAACTGCCTATTACTATATCTGAATCTGCACTTGAACTCAGAATTTGGTTTGAATTACTGAAAGGAATCCATATTTCATTATGTCATGAGATAAAATCAAGAAAATTATTAACAACTTGTTGCTTATTAAACACACATTTATTTACAAATAATGATGGACTTTTACTGATGGCATTTATATTTGAAATGCAATTACTTTCAAACTAGAACTTTCAAGTAGAATTGAGATAAGACATTATGTTTTCCCACTTGTCATTTTGGATTTGCAAAGTTATTATTTTTCTGCCATACAAAAATATAAGATTTATTAGACCACACGTAATAGAATGAGGTTTGGAAGGATTGAATAAATAAATGAATGGGTACCTGGGTGGACAAAACTGCTAAATAAGAGATTAGAATAGTTTAGGCTGTAAATAGAAGATATCAGGAGATGTGTAATTCAGGGAAAGCATTCTGAAATTGTATCTGAATAGCCAGTCTATCATGTATACAATCTTCATTTCAATAATAGTTGCTAGTTTTACCTAAAACCTTATAATGTCAAAGAAAAGAAGGGGCATTTAAAATACATGTAATATTCTACTTAATAAACAGTTAAGACAAAGCACAGTCGGGTAACTTACCTTCTGCAAGTCCTGTACAAAATCCTGCTAAAAGTGAAACATGCTTTAGCCAGTTACATTACGTGGAAAATAGCCATAATAAATAAATATTGATATTGTACACATTATGAACGATTATTAGTGTTAATACACTTTCTTTGTTTATATGTTTGTGTATGTGCAAATGTAAAAGGAATATTTAAAACCTCACTTCTTTAAAATTTAGTTTCACATATTTCTGCCTAAAAAAGCAAGGAAGATATATTGTCTAGTAAAAATATTCTCTATCCACTCTCTTTGGAGCTTTTCCAAATAAATATCCTCCACCAAATTTTTCATAGCTGTGGTCACTTAGGGCATCATTTTAATATTAGCAAGTGTCCAACATTCTTCACACTTGCAGTGACCATTTACTTTTATTTTCAAAACCAGATGCTTTTGAAAATGAATGAGAATAACTAATGAGTAAGAGTCTGTTTACCTTACTATTTAAGGAAGCTTATTATGGCATTTCAGATTTTAAATTCAAATATAGTAGGTTATAATGATCTCTGTAATTATTATACAATATTTTAAGTTGCATTTTTTGGAAGAGCATACAGAAAATTTAATATTCTTCATCATCAATATGACACAATATGTCATAAAGGAGAAGTTTTATAGAAATATTAAATTCACCTTAATCTTTGCATTTAAAATCTATACAAATTTAATTTCAGTTAATTCTCAGGAAAATAAAAATCACTAATTTTAAAAATTTATCACATTTGAAAATTAGATTCCATAAATATCTTGCCTTTGGGCACATGTGTTGAACATGATTGAGACTGGGATGAATTTCTCTTCTTATCCTTCTGAATATATTATTGTTTGATTTCTTAAACACAGTCTAATTTGTTTTACTTAAATTCCATGAACTCAGATTATAAAAAGTAGAAGTGTCAAAAATACAGCACAAAAATAATAAAAATGACCTAGTTTATAGGTGACTATGAACAGAAAAATAAAACATTTGAAGAATGCTTTGCCCAGTTAAGATGACAAGTGGGAAAATATTATCTGTTTCTTGAGTTTCATCTCGAGACTTTAGGTTGTAGAGTAATTGCAACTCAAGTATAAATGCAGCAAGAATGGGTCAATCAGTACTGGTAGAAAAATAATTATCCTTGTACTAATAAAATTAGTTCCCAATGTGAAGCAGTGAACAGATACA